TCAAACGGCTTCATAATGTCAGGGAGGCCTAGAGCAGGTGCAGTGAGCAGCTTCTCTTTAATGGTTTGGAAGGCTGTATGGCAATCTCCAGTCCAGTTAAAGGCTTCATTGTCTCCACCCTTGAAGCTTCACAGAGGGGCTTGGCTATCAGTCCAAAGTTAGGGATCCAGATATGGCAGAATCCTGCCAGGCCCAGGGAGCTTCACAATTTTCTGCTGGTAGTGGGCACTGCTACCCTAGTCAGTGCTTCTCTCCTGTCAGGGAGCAGGCTTCTGTGCTTCTGTGACAGTTCAAAACCCAGATATTTAACCGACAGCTGTGAAATCTCGGCCTTTTTCTTGGAGACCTTGTAAGTCTCACTCAACTAAGAAATTTAGACTCAGAATCATGTTCTGGTCTGAGGTCTATTTGGTCTTACTAGTGGTCAGGATCTCATGCACAAATTGGAGAAGACCTCCTTCTTTTAATTAGAGACCTCTCAAATCTCTGGCTAAGATTTCTCCAGAGGTAGTGGGAGTGTTTTTAAAGCCCTGAGGGAGGACTGTCCAACAATACTACTGTTTGGCTCTAGTCTCAGGATCCTGCTGTTCAAAAGCAAGTAGCTCCTGAGAGTCAGGTCTCAAGGGTATGCAAAAAAATGCATCTTTGAGGTCCAGAACTGTAAACCAACTGAAATCTCCAGACAAGGTGGTAAGCAAGGTATAAGAGTTGGGCACCACTGGATGGATATCTTCCACGATTTAGTTAATTACCCTTAAGACTTACACAAAGCAATATGCCTGTGTGCCAGGCTTTTGAACTGATAAAAAAGGGGTGTTATATGGGGACTGGCAAGGGTGAATGAGGTCATATTTGAGAAAGGCAGTCAACAGAGGTTGAATACCTTGCCTAGCATGTTCCTTTAGTGGGTACTGCCTCAAATTTGGAATTTTCGACTTGGGACAAATTTTAGCATGTATAGGCACTGCTGTCTTTGTCCGTCCTGGCCTCCTGTCTGCCCATATGTCCAGTCTTACCTCTTGTAAGATTTCTTCTGGAATCTCTATTGGAGGCTTTTCAGCTTGGAGGGCACAAGCCTGTTCAGGTGGTACCTTAATGTCCATTCATCCAGAGGCAAAGCTCACCCTAGTGTTTAATTGGGTCAGCAAATCTTGTCCCAACAATGGAACGGGACAGTCAGGCATGTACAAGAAAGTATGTTTTGAGTACCTTTTTCCCACTTGGAAGTCTAGAGGTTGGAGAAATGACTTTCAAGCTTTCTCCTGACACCCCTGTCACTAGCATTGTGTTTTCAGAGAGTTTAGAAAGCTGAACATTCAAAGTAGTCCCCATATCAATCAGAAAGTCCAAAAGTCTGTTTCCCACTGTCATAGTTACCCAGCGCTCTGTGTGGGAAATTGTGACAAAGTCAGTGAGGTCGGAGGGGGCTCCTGGCCCCCGTCATTCTTGATCAGTATCAGTGACCTGAGGCATTTGGAGCACTGCCTGTTGCCCATCCTCTTCAAGAGTTTCATTTAGGCTGGGGCATTCCTTTTTTCTTTTTTTTTTTTTTTTTTAAAGATTTTTTATTTTTTCCTTTTTCTCCCCAAAGCCCCCCGGTACATAGTTGTATATTCTTCGTTGTGGGTTCTTCTAGTTGCGGTATGTGGGACGCTGCCTCAGCGTGGTCTGATGAGCAGTGCCATGTCCGCGCCCAGGATTCGAACCAACGAAACACTGGGCCGCCTGCAGCGGAGCGCGCGAACTTAACCACTCGGCCACGGGGCCAGTGGGGCATTCCTTTTTTCGATGGCCCTCCTTGTTACAGTAGGCACATTGGCGGTGTCCCACAGTAGGGTGTCCATTGTTAATTGAAGCTAGGGGCCCAGGACCACCTAACTTAGGTTCAGTTCTTCCTTGTGGCAGAGCACGGGACAGTCCTTGAGTCAGTGCAGCTGCTAGCCGAGTGGCTTGTTGTTTCATCCTCCGTTGCTCCTTTCTTTCTTGAACCTGGTCTCTGTTATTGAAATCTTTGAAGGCAATCTCAACTAATTGTGACATCTGCATCCCTAGGACCCCTTCCAATTTTTGCAGTTTTTTGTGAATATCTGGGGCACTCTGGTTAATAAATGTCATATTTACCATTTTAAATTCTCTAGTGCCTCTTGATCTATATCTATGTTGCCTTTATACCTCAAAAATTCTTTCTAATAATTCCATAGGGTCTTCATTAGGCTTTTGCTTTACCTCCTATACTTTATTTAGGCTCCTTTGCTTTGGGACTCCTTTTCAAAGCCCTGCTAAAACTCAGTCCCAGTAATGTTCAAGTCTGGCTCTGTCCACTGCATTTACATTCCAACTGGGGTCCGTTGTTGCCACTGCTACACTGCTCAGCCCTCACAGGGTTGCCTGGAGTTTCTGTGTGTAGCAGATTTGCTTCCTCCATAGATTTTTCTAAAACCATCTGGTGCATCTCAGAAGTGAGGAGCGTGTTTAATAGGTTTTGTATATCTGCCCAAGTCAGGTTATGCATAGCAAAAATTGGTGAAAAAAGATTTTCCATTCTTTTTGGGTCCTCTCTATATGTAGGCATGTTATTCTTCCCATTAAACAAGTCTGAAGTTGAAAAGGGATAATGGACCCAAATTAGTCCCATTGGCTGCCCAGTCGCAGCATCTGTACCTCCAATAGAGACTTGCCTTAACAGATATTTCCCCACCTCGGTTTGGACAGCTCCCTGGCCAAATTGAGTACCCTGGTGGGTATTAGAGGAGGAGAACAATCCTATATCTTGACCCTTGGAGACTGGGGGAGCCTGAGCCTGGGGTTGTGGCTCAGGTGGTGGCGGGGGCGGAGTGACAGCACCACAATATGGGGATGGAGGAAGAGCAGCTGGAGTATTTGACTGAATTACCAGTAAATCATCTTCCTTTTCATCAGAATCACTAAAATCAAACAAAACAGGTTTTCAAAAAGTCTGTCCCTCCTGTTAAATCAAAATCTTACATCTCCTCTGTATAGGCTTATTCTGGTATAACAACATAAAAGACTGAACATACAGTGTTGCATCTCATTTCTCTTCCCATTTACCAAATAGTTCTAATTTGCAAGATTTTACTATAATTTAAGGATCCATTTTCAGGCCATTTTTCTCTGGAGTCTAAAGAATATTGTGGCCACAGTGGTGTTACAGAAAAACGCCGTCTTTTTCTTTTTCATAGACTCATAACTGAAAGTTGCTGAATTTTGAAGAAGGCAGCCTAGCGGGCTGCAGATGGGAATTGAATTAACATTACCCATTGTTTCGGAATTTAGACGTGACCGGTCAAAAGTATACTTATGCTGCAGCTAGAAGCAGATCTCAAAACCAAACCAAGCCAAGAGAACTTCTGTGAGTGGATCCCCTAATTCTTCCTTAATATTGGGCGTCCCCAAAACCATGACCCTCACTATGAAGTCCAAACCAAAGCTTCCTTTTTTGGAAGTCAAGGAGGGCATCCACTGCCAGACGAAGGCTTCCTTTATGGAAGTCAGATCGAAAGGAAAAAGGAATAAGAACCCTGTCACTTATACTGAAGTTTACTCACCAAAAAGATGTCTTCCAGACAAGAAACTCTCTCTCTACCACAAAGTGAGATTATGTGCCAAGGAGTCGGCAGCGCCCAGCCAAGAAAAAAATCCTGGAACGGTCCCAGGAGAAATGGTCCTGGCAGCTGCTGGACTCATCCACAGGGTCTCCACACTGGCAAGGGGATGATGAATCTCAGACAAAAAGGTCTGTCTGGACTTACCTCTGGCTGGCTTGCCAAATTGTCATCCAACCAGGATCCTTTTCGTCTGTCACTGGGAAAGCCAAACACCGAGATGAGATTGCTGCAGAGAGAGGGTTTAATCACAAGGAAGCCAAGTCAGGAAATGAGAGAATGAGTCTGAAATCCACTTCCCTGAAAATGGGGACTTGGATGTTTATGGGGTATGGAAGCACGTTGGTCTGAAATGTGGAGACAGATGATTGGAGGTGCGGAAAGGTGAGGTAATGATGATCTGCACAAGCGTAGTCAGACTTCATGCCTTTTGATAGGACGCATGTTCACAAAATGGCAGCATTAGCATGATCTGAGGGTGGAGTTTTTGGCCTCTTGATGTCGAATGATCACTTCTCACACATCTGCATGGGCCCAGTTTATGGGTTGGTGGTCTCAACTGACCTGAAGTGTACAAGGGGTTCTAATTCCTGAAAAACAGCTCAAACACCCATTACCATGGTGACCCAGGCTCCAGGGAGATGTTATCTATGGGAACCTAGTGGGAGTCAGATAGCATATTGCCTACACAACACAGTTAACAATGGGCGGGGGAACAACTAAACGCTATAATCAGTAATTGCAAAAGGGAAAACAACTTTAGTTACCAGCTACTTAATCGTCAATGGCTAACCGTTTGCCAGTTTCAGAAGACATTCTATTATGTTTGTTGAATGAGTTAGTTACATATTTACGTTGATACTTTGTTAAGAGTTGATATGCCTGAATAATTGGTGAAATTTGAATATGGACTCTGGATTTGGTAAGAGCACCAATGTTCAATTTCCCAAAATTGTTCATTGTACTGGAGCTTTGTAAGAGATGTCTTTTTCTCAAGTGATACACACTGAAGTATTAAAGGTGTAATGAAGGATAATGTCTGTGATTTACTCTCAAATGGTTCTGGAAATTTTTTTTTACATATTCATACACATACACGTGAATATAAAGTGAGAAAGAGATGAGGCAAATATGGCAAAGAGGTAACAATTGAATCTGGGTGAAGGATACAAGAGTACTTTGTATAATTCTTGCAAAATTTCTATTAAGTTTGAAATTATTTCAGAACAAAAAGATAAAATGTGCCTTCAAATTAAGACGTAAGCAAAAACAAATATATGTTTCTGGCCATGAAAGAGCCATATTCCCTTCTCTCTAATCTGTGTATTTTATGTTTGTATTTTAAAATAATGAGAAAATGTATCTATGATTCTTTAGGACATCAGAAAGCAAGAAGGGGCAAGAGACTTCCATTATGGCTGTGGAGGCTGCTGACAGTAGCTACAGGAAATGGATTCCCTGAGCCCTGCCTTCCTGTCAGGAGTGAAAGCAAGCGGTCCTGGAGAGCTGCCTCTTCATCTCTGGGCTGGGGAAAAGGAGGGGTTTTATTTAGTACCAGTTTCTTCCTTCTAGTAAGAAATCAGTTGTGTGAATGTGCTAATCAAATTCCTTCATACACAATTATAATTTTAAGGAATAAATAAGTGGAACACCTTAAACATGCCGTACTCTCTGAGTACTCAAAAATCTTGATTTTTTTTTCCTGATATAATATAAAAGCCTTGCATTTAAATTAGAGTCTTGCACCTAATGATATAAAACAGTTTTAGTCAGTTACGAATCAATTATTTGACTTCAAAGATAAGGTTAGCTGTGATTAACTATCTCAGTTTTTCCTAGCTTTTATTTCATGGAATTTTATGTTTTTCCATAAAGAAAATTTCTTACACGTATTGATGAGTATGTTTAATTTTTATGCCTTGGCAAGATTTTAAAAGGTTAGGAAAAAAATCCTCGTCAGACTGTAGTCAGAAAATGGGACCATTGTGTCATTAGCTCCTATGAACTAAATCAGGTAAAGTGAGGGTTAGTAATCAGTGTTAGACAAATAGGGGTAAACGAGGCACAGAAGACTGAAATAACTTCTTCAAAGTAAAATAATTTCTACTTGAGTTTACACTGTAATATATGGCTTCAAGCAGTAGAATTCTTTGTAAGGCTTATGAGTTCTCTTAATTATAGTAAGTTTATAATTAGGCATTGTATAGTCATCCTTAGTCATTCCCTCCATCTGTTTATACTAAGCTGCAATTTAAAGGACCCAATATGTTCTGCAATAGAAAGCTCCAGAATCCAAGCAGCTTTGTAATTGCCCTTGGCAAAATATTTTGAAGTCCAACTGTGGAGCTTTAATAATATTGTGATATTTTGGTTGTCATGATATCTTAAAGGTTATGTTTTTGACAATGTGTTTCTGAGTATTGTTCTGCTCAGAATGTTTTAAAAAATCATCACTTGAATATTGTTTTATTTCTAAAGTCAAAGTATGATACATACCTGTTACTGGTACTCTCATCTCATGTAGCAGGAAACCTTGAAAGTCCTACTTTCTGTGCTAAGAAAAGAGTTGATTCCTCATATCTCTCTGGAGGCAGGGCTTCAGGGCTCAATCTTGCCCCTTTCTCTGTGACTATTTCCTTACCTTTGGCCACCCCACACCTTCTGAGTGTTGAAACCTCCGGCTCCTATTCTGTGCCCTCCTGTGTCCTCTGAATAACCACTACTCTGTTGTATGGAACCCTATTTCTCCTCACTGTCCTTATTTCATCCTTCTTCTTATTAAATGGAATTTCCGTCTTTACCTCCATAAGCAAAGCCCCAGCCACTCTGGATATATTTACTATTATTTCCTCATAATAGTAGGTTACACAGAATTACGAATTTCATAAACAGATTATATAATGAAGAAGATTGAGAAAGAGAAGGTTCCATGTTGCCTTAGGCCAATCTCAGAAAAGCCATGAATATTTTCAGCTTTTATCTGCCTCTTCAACATCTTCCTGGCTAATAATCTTTCTAACATCTCCATATTTAATATTTTGAGCAATGCTGTAGTCAAATGAGTGCCCAACTGGGACTCTACGCAGTGCACATTCAGCCTGTTAATGTCAGCCTCAAGTATTGCAGCACTTCTGAAACATCGCCTGAGAAGGAGGAAACTGAAAACGAGGGAGAGAACAGAAGCTTGATGAGGCAGTGGGGGCTCAAGCACTGATAGCCTCTTATGGTATGTTCCCTGGAGGTTGAAAGAAAGATATAAATGCTGAAGGAAGAACCCTCATAATCTCTAATGGAACTATAGAGAAAGTCAGTATTGTTGGATAAATCAAATGACATAACAATTGATCTAAACTTAAATATTAGATGATCAAGACCAGTGCTTCTCAAACTTTGAAGTGTATACAGATCACCTGGGAGTCTTATGAAAATACAGATTCTGATCAGTGGGTAGAGGGTGGAGCCTGAGATTATGCATTTCTAACAAGCTCCAAATTGATGCTGGTGCTGCTGGACCATGGGCTACACTTTGAGTAGCAAGGTTTTAGAATACCCTAACTTTTTTGTATTAAAAAATATATTTTACATGAAGATATTGCATGAAAAATTTAAAATAACTTCAAATATACTCTGAGTTTAGTGTGTAGATTTAAAAATAAAAGACGTGCACTGGAGAATGAACAAATTAAGCAGGCATTTTCTAGGATTCAATTAAGATGACATGAATCCAAAGCAAAGTAATTAGATCTGAAGTTCTAGAGAATATGTTACTGCATTTGTATCAAGGGAAACAGTCAAAGCACACATTCTATTAATAAGTAATTTTGACTTCTGAAGAAGAAGATACGAATCATCTGTTCTCTCATGTTGGCCTGCCGAGGTTCTTAAAATCTCCTCAGCAGGTGAATCTTTGCACCCTTGTCACAGTCATGGCCTTCTACTAAGGCAAGTTTTTGTCCACTAGAAACTTAAAGGTTAGGCCCTGAAGAACTTGCACTCTTAGTCTTTCTAGGTTCATAATATTGATATCTTTCAGCCCTATGTTTCTTTCAGATTTGATCTGTTAATATTAAATGGTGATACTATATGTTTACATTTGTCCATATATATTTAATAGTTTACATTTGTATAATACTTTAAATGATTTCCACATATTGTCATTTGATTCTCACAATGATCCTGCGAGTTTAGCTATTTCCTCCATTTTACTAACAAAGAAACTTAGGCTTATAGATGTTAGAAAACCTGTCCAGGATCAGGAAGTTAATATGGCAAAATTAGGGCTGAAATCTAGATCTTTGGCTTAAAAATCTCTGTTTCTTTCTACCAGACCTTATTTCTTTTTATCACATAGGACACCTGTAGAAATAATGTTATTGTCAAGCCAAGAGGATCGTTTCTCAGGTAGCTTAAACAAAGTCTGCAGAAACAGAACAGAGAGATAGCTTCCTGAAAACTGTGACCAACAGTCAACTCCAGAGTTGAGCTGCATGGCTAAAAGAGATACAGTAGTCCCTCGGTATCCGGGGGGGATTGATTCCAGGATCACCTGCCCCCAACCACCCCCCAATCTGTGGATGCTCAAGTCTCTTATATAAAATGGCACAGTATTTGCATATAACCTGTGGACATCCTCCTGTATACTTTAAATCATCTCTAGATTACTTATAATCCTAATTCCATGTAAATGTGATGTAAATGGTTGTTAGTGTTGTTATGGTATAATGAGAAGAAAAAGAATCTGTACTTGTTTAGTACAGACCCAGCCATCGTAGGCCTTTCAATCGGCTGTTGGTTGAATCTGCGGATGTGGAACCATGGATATTGAGGGCCGACTGTAAATTAGCTCTGATTAAATAATAGGATTTGACATGCAGCAGACAGCAGATGATAGACAATGGGAAGAGACCCAGAGCTTGTGAGTGTATAGACTGGAAATAATTTACTTGTGTCAATGGAACACCAGTAATCCGGGATTTCCTTTAAAGTTCAATCTCCTTTAAGAATTTTTTTAAAAAGGCAAATTTTATTTAAAAGATTATTTAAAATAAGCATTGCTGGCTGAACCAGGTAGCTGTTGCTATTTGTGGTGGACTTTTATGTCTTGTTTAAAATTGGAACTTCTGTTTGTCTATGTGTGGTTTCACAGTTTAACACATATGTATTGTGTAATTTATAAATGCCATATATTCCTCTAATTAGGTTCTCTTTCATTTTCTGCTTGCTGAACTATTTAAGGAGACTTGGACGTTGTTCACCTTTATTTCCTTGTAAACGCCTCTGCCACCTAGTGGACTCTTTGAAATCAGTCAGATTGGCTCATTAGGTGTGTGGTTAAGCACCAGGGTATATAAAGTGCTCATTGTCACATGGAGTGAACTAGGAAGTAGAATTGGAGATGGCTGTAAATCCGGGATTTATATGTTAACCTGTGCCAAGATAAATTGAGTAGCCAGCACGTACTTACATGAAATGTATTTTGGACCCTGAGATCTCCACACATGGAGAGAAGTGGCTTCTGCACTCTGAGTAGCTGCTTTGCTTAGCTCTATTCAGACGAGCTGTGAAAGAGATCCCATAAGAAGTACAGGGAAAGAGCCTTAGTTCCAGGAGTAAGAAGCTTGAAGAAGCAGCCCTTTCCCATTAGGAGATGATGGGACTCTCTGGAAAGCTGAGAGTATCTGGGAAGCCAGCTGGAATACTTCTGCTTGAAGTGCCAACCCTTGAGTCATATTTTTATCATAGGTGTAATGAAGTAACACTATGTCATTACTGTCACAAACTTATCTAAATAACAGTTATTATTATTAGTTGAAATTATCATCTGATTTACATGTTCTACTTTATCTTTGTAACTATAACACAACTTGCTTCTTCATAACCTGAAATTAATTATCATAGAAGTACTTGGAATAGAATCCTTGTGATACTGAATGTATTAATGCTAAAGGTTGATTTTAGGCATCTTATTTTCAGAAACACGGGAGAAATTTAGAGGTGAGTAACAAAAACAAAACCACTTGTCAGCCTATGAGGAAAACTTAATTGAATTGAGATTATCTTAACCTGGAGATAAAGATGTAAAGTGAGTAGTGATATTGGAAGATTCTTTATAGTTTGAGGGGCACACTGGCAGGGGCATCCCCTAGCAGTGCACAGCCTCGTCTTCTCATCATAATATGCGTACCCAGCCACTCTGGAATCAGAGACTGAAGTTTTACTTTGGAGTTTAGAATTTAGATTTAGGCCATTGGTTTCCTCTAGAGTTTAAAGTATTTATTTTAAAGTTGCCTTTCCTAATATAATTTGAAGAAAATTAGGGCCCACCTAGAACTCTTAAAATCTGAGGTGGGGGAGGGTGGGGGAGAGAGAGAGAGACAGAGACAGAGAGACAGAGACAGACAGAGACAGAGACAGAAATGTTTAACGTGGAAGGTGGAGTTGGGCAAGAAACAATTGCCTTCTACCTCTTGGGTTTCAGCTTCCAGCCCTTTGATCACTGGGATGACCTGTGTAACCTTCTCTGGGTTCCCTGGATTCTGACTTTGCTCTGGTTCTCTAGTTCTTAACTTACTTTTGGTCTTTGTTCAGGTTTCCTCCTTGATTTCTGACTTGGCTCTTCTGGTGACTTGTCTCAGTTGGACACACCTGAACACTCTGACATGAGTTTGGAAGGAGAAATGTCACTAGAAAGTAGTATACTTATTTGTAAAAAGATAGTTGTCACTTCTTATATAGTTTTTTTACTTTGTCGTTATTATAATAAATACTTTCCTATCACAGAGATAATAAATTATACATTGCCAGAAATTGTAAAATACATTTAATTTCAAAGTAAATAAACTAGTATAAGTCTATGTCACATGGAGAAAACCATTGGTGAATAGAACTAAAA